TATATAGGGGGCCGCCTGTGGCTCACGCCTGTAATCCTAGCACTCTGGGGCCGAGGCGGATGGGTTTGCTCAAGGTCAGGAGTTAAAAACCAGCCTGGCAAGAGCGAGACCCCGCTCTACTGATAATGAAGAAAAATTAATTGGCCAACTAAAATAGTATATAAAAAAATTGAGCCGGGCAGGTGGGCCGCATGCCTGAAGTCCCAGCTACCTCGGGAGGGCTGAGGCAGGAGAGGAGAGGGATCGCTTGAGCCCAGGAGTCTGAGGTTGCTGTGAGCGAGGCTGATGCCACGGCACTCACTCTAGCCTGGGCAAGCAGAGTGAGACTCTGTCTCAAAAATAAATAAATAAATAAATGTATGTTATTATGTGACTAACATGTTAGTGGGTTAATGGATACATAAATATCCATTAATTCTTTATGGATATTTATGTATCCATAATGAAATATCCTTTTTCATTTTTAATATGGCAAATATTAACAGATACAAAATGCAATGAGGGACCCTGGATTGGATCCCAGAGGACATTATGCCGAGCGGAATGAGCCAGGCACCGAGAGGCAGACACACACCGCCTGATCTCATTTACGTGTGGAATCTACAGAAGTTGGACGCACAGAAGCAGAGAGTGGAAATGGTGCGGTCGCCAGGGCATGGAGAAGCGCGAAGCAATATATAAATGTTCCCTGTGAGGCCGTTTTGCAGGAAAGGCCTGCTGACTCCTCCCCTAGCACTCCTCTTTGTCCCCCAAGCCCCACCCCCATTCCCAACCCCACCCTGATCTGCCGTCCTCGATCCTCTGAAACAGGAGCCAAACGCTACCTGCCGCGAGGAGGGACTCGTCTTCAGAGACCACCAGGAAACTCACAGCATCTGGAAGCTTCTCCAGCAAGCGGTCTCCTTCGGAGGAAACCTGCAAAAAGTCAAGGACACCTGTCAAGCATTTCCGCAGGGTTAAGGGTGAAGGGTGAAGGGTCAGAGAGCTTGGAATGGGGTGCAGGGCTCTGCCAGCTCTGTGACTCTAAGCAAGTTCCTTAACACCTCGGTGCCTCGGTTTCCCCTTCCTGTTAAATGAAAGATGATCTCAAGACACCCCCCCCCTCAGAGAAGTACATAGAATTATTGTTCAGCCTATATAGTCAGCCCTCCCGAAGTAGCAGCTGTAATTATTGCTGACCTCGCTGTTGTTGTACGCACTCCGGGGCCCAGAGAATATTCCAGCACTCCTGCTGGCATCTGGTGGGTGGAGGCCAGGGAAGCTGCTAAACATCCCATCAAGCACAGTACAGCCCTTATAGCAAAGAATGATCTGGGCCCTGCTGTGAGCTAGGCAGATGCCACGGCCCTGTAGCCTGGGCAACATAGTGAGACTCTGTCTCAAAAAAAAAAAAAAAAAAAAAGGAATCACATCTTCTATTCCAGAGGCGGAGGTGAGGCTGGGGGTTCCCGGATCTCCCACCTGAATGAGCGCGTCGAGGGACCCGGTGACGATCAGGTTGTTCCTGGGACCGAACACAGCCGTCTGGACCCTGTCCTCGTGTTGCAGCTCGGTGGCCGTGAACCGGTGAAAGCCCTGTGAGTCGGCCAGGAATATCCGCACGGATCTTCCGAACCCTGAAACGGCAGACGGGGAGGGGGCTTGGTGCTCTTGCGCCTGGAGGAGCCCGAGGGTGCGTTCTGAGCACCTGTTGTGTGCCCGGAAGCTGGACAGGCTCCCCGGGGAGAAGAGCGCCCCCTGCTGACCTGCTAGTTTCAGACTTCAGGCCTCCGGAACTATGAGACAACCTGGCTGTTTTAAGCCCCCCGCCCCCCACCAGGTTTGTGGGCGAGGTTGTTACAACAGCCCCAGGACATTTGAGCCGGTTTTAGTGGGGTGAGCAGGTGGCAACCCCTGGGAAGGTGGGAACAGCAAGAGACCACCGGGAGGCAGGAGCATTGTGAGCGTGTTTGAGGAGCTGCAGAGAGACTGGTGTGGCTGCCAAGGAATAAAGGAGGGGGAGATGGAAAGGGTGGCTCCATTGAACAAATAAACAAACAAATACCAGGACACCCAGTTAAATGGGAATTTCAGATAGACAATGAGGTTTGTTTGTTTGTTTGTTTGTTTCACCAGTATAAGTATATCCCAAATAATTGCACGGGATATACTTATCCTAAAAACTTAATTTGTCGTCTATCTGGAATTCACATTTCGCTGAGGGTCTTTTAGTTTTTCTGGCAACCCTAACGCAGGGGACTCGCTCACTAGCATGCCAAATATGATCTGGGTGATGCTTTGTTGAGGGGACACCTAGCGGGGCAGGGAGGTGCACAAAGGACAGATTTATGCAAAGTCACTGAGGCCCCATAAAGGACATAAATGGGCTGGGCGCGGTGGCTCATGCTTATAATCCCAGCAAGCACGGGAGGTCGAGGTGGGAGAATCACTTGAGATCAGGAGTTCCAGACCAGCCTGAGCAACATAGCGAGACCCTGTCTCTACTAAAAATAGAAGCATTAACTGGGCATGGTGGCGGCATGCACCTACAGCCCCAGCTACTCGGGAGGCTGAGGCAGGAGGCTCGCTTGAGCCCGGGAGTTTGAGGCTGCTGTGAGCTACCATTGTGCCACTGAACCTCATGTCCAGGCAACAAAGCAAGACACTGTTTCCAGGGGAAAAGAAAAAATAAAAGAGTTTTGTCCTTGGAAAACCATGGGTCACCAGTTGAGTCACCATTTTCCATTGGCACCAACAGCTCAGGTGGGGGCCCCATTCCAGTGGCGCCCTGCCCCGTCACGGGAGCTATCTGCTTATACGATAGGTGCACCATCAATTCTTCCGGATATTCGGAAAGGACATATTGGTAAATAGAAAGATGTTCTGATGCAGGGCAGCATTGTGTTCGAGAGCGTGGAGCCGAGCCAGACTCTGGGTTCAAACCCCAGCCCCTCCACTTACAGCTGTGCGACCTCAGGCAAGTCACTTAACTTCTCTGTGCTTTAGTTTCTGCCTCTATCGATGAGGATGGTGAAAGTGCCTACCTCCCAGGGCTACTGTTGAGAAGTAAAAAAGTTAGCGGCTGAGAATCCCTTAGGACCCACCCAAGTATTAGCTACTATTATTCTATGATGGCAGAAACTCTCATGCGCGGTGGGTCTCTGTGCTGCCTGCCTGGCCTACATCATCTCATTTTAGCAGCTGTCTGATGACCCGGGTCTACCCTACAAGGACATTTGCATCCCATTCTTGTGCAGAAAAGGATTCTCAGCAGGCCTGGCTTGACCACACCCTGCACGTGAAAGAGGTGACTTCTAAGCACTTGGAATGTCCTGCCCTGGTAAGAGTGGTTTGCTTCCTTAGAGGGTTTGGGTCACTCCACATAGTGAGGAAGGGATTTATGGTGGAAGGTTTGGGACGTATGGTATCACCTTGAACTATGGAGGGGCTGTAGGCTAAGGGAAGCCCCCCCTGGCCGCCCTGGAGTAAGGACAGTCAGCCATGTCTAAGTGACCGACTCCCGGTCACATACCTACTCCCTGCCACCACACCCAGCAGTTGCTACATTTTTAAATGGTTAAAAAAAAAAAAAATCAAAGTAAAGATGAATATTTCATGGCACATGAAAATGATATGGGATTCATTGGCCGGCGGAGGTGGCTCACGCCTGTAATCCCAGCACTCTGGGAGGCCGAGGCGGGCGGATCGCTGGAGGTCAGGAGTTCAAAACCAGCCTGAGGAAGAGCAAGACCCCCGTCTCTACTATAAATAGAAAGAAATTAATTGACCAACTAATATACATAGAAAAAATTGGCCGGGCATGGTGGCGCATGCCTGTAGTCCCAGCTACTCAGGAGGCTGAGGCAGGAGGATCCAGGAGTCCAGGAGTCTGAGGTTGCTGTGAGCGAGGCTGACCCCACGGCACTCACTCTAGCCTGGGCAACAAAGTGAGACTCTCTCTCAAAAAAAAAAAAAAAAAAAAAAAAGCCCATAAAGAATGATCGGGCCCCGAATACCAGTGGTCACAGGTCGAGACTCTCTGCTTTCAGGGAGCCTAAGAGGAGCAGTTGAAAGCACGGATTCTACAGCCAGACTGCTTGAGTTCAGAATTGCTCATCAGCTTTGGGACTTTAGGCAAAGGACTTCGCCTCTCCTTGCCTCAGTTTACCCATCCATAACACAGACACAACGACAGCAACTACATCGTAGTGTTGTCTTCAGGGTTAAATGAGTTCACAGGGCCGGGCGCGGTGGCTCACGCCTGTGATCCCAGCACTCTGGGAGGCTGAGGCGGGAGGATCGCTTGAGCTCAGGAGTTCGAGACCAGCCTGAGCAAGAGCGAGACCCCTGTCTCTACTTAAAAAAAAAAAAAATAGAAAAATTAGCCAGGCACAGTGGTGTGCACCTGTAGTCCCAGCTACTCGGGAGGCTGAGGCAGGAGGATCGCTTGAGCCCAGCAGTTGGAGGTTGCAGTGAGCCATGATGACACCACGGCACTCTAGCTGGGGTGACAGAGTGAGACTCTGTCTCGAAAAAAAAAGAAAGAAAGAAAGAAAAAGGAAGCCAAGTGTCTCTTATTAAAAGACATAAGGCAAGATCCTTTCTCCCAATTTCTAGGACACTGGAGCACTTTTAGGGCTGATTTAATTTTCTCATTATAGCCAGTAAAGTTGCCTACCAAAGAGATGGAGCCGTTGCTAAACCCAGTGACCAGCCTTCCTTGTGTCTGCACTGAGACCGCACAGGCAGGGGTTTCTCCTTCGACGCTGGACAGGCGCCGCGTGCCCTGCAGTTTTCCCGTGGCGGAGCTCCACGCGCTGGCCACGCCGCGCTCCGACACTGCCATCAGCCTGGCCTGCGGGGCCAGCACGGCCGTGCACACCCAGGGATCAGAGGCGTCTCCCGGGATTCGGAAAACCAGTTCTGCAGTTTCTAGATTCCAAGCATGGATCTAACGGGATAAAGAGGAAGCGACATCCCAGTAGGAGACTGGACTGCACGCTTTCCAGACTCAGATGCAAGACCCGTTTTTCACTATGGCTCATGCATTTTGTTTTCAACACTGCCAGTTCAGAAATAAATAAAAAAAAGAGAGAGAGAGAGAGGGAGGGAGGCCGGGCGCGGCGGCTCACACCTGCGATCCTAGCACTCTGGGAGGCTGAGGCGGGAGGATCGCTTGAGCTCAGGAGTTCACTAAGGAAGAGCCGGACACTTTCTCTACATTAAATAGAAAAATTAGCCGGGCATGGTGGCACGTGTGCCTATAGTCCCAGCTACTCTGGTGGAGGCATCTTTATAGTTTTTCTGTAAATTTAAAATTGGTCTAAAATAAAAAGAAAATTTTAAATAGAAAAAAAAGTCATCAGCGCCATACACATTCATATATACGTTCATTACAAGTTTTCATGTCCAATTTCGCCTCCCAGAAAGTATCTTTTCATTGTCAGTCACAATCTAAATATTAAACATGTGCCCATTCCTTCTACGTCTGGGGTTTCAATTAACAAAACAAGGAGAGATACACACAAAGATATGTGTATAAGAAAAGTTATTTCAGTTATTTGTAAAGACCAAAGAACTGGAAACAACCTAGTTGTCCAATAACAAGGGATTAGTTAAGTAAATTCCAGTGAAGCCAGATGATGGAATCTTGTGCAATCACTAAGCACGCTGTTTTCAAAAAATTAAGGTTATGAGAAAATGCTCATGACATATTAAGTGGGAAAAGTAGCTTTATAAAACGTACACGTATGTGGCTTGTTTTTGTTTTTTGAGACAGTCTTACTCTGTTGCCAAGGGTAGAGTACAGTGGCATCATCATAGCTCACTGCTACCTCAAACTCCTGGGCTCAAGCCATCCTCCTGCCTCAGCCTCCCAAGTAGCTGGGACTAAAGGCGCATACCACCAAATTGGGCTAATTTTTCTCTTTTTTTATAGAGACAGGGTCTCACTATTTCCCAGGCTTTTCTCGAACTCCTGGGCTCAAGTGATCCTCCCACCTCAGTCTCCCAAAGTGCTAGGATCACAGGCGTGAGTCACTGCGCCCAGCCTCAAGTTTGTATTTTAATCCCAATTTTATTTTACAGACATAGTCACACACAAATGCACACACATGCACATATCACATAAAGTAAAATCATATAAATGTTAACAGTGTAATGTTATTTGGGGGGTTATTTCTATATACTTTATTTTCCAAACTTTTATGGATAACAAAGAAGATTTTTATAACTGATTTTGAAATCAATCAATACTTCTCTAATATTTCAGCCTGCCCTGTCTAATAAAAATATGCAAGCCACGTATGACTTTAAATTTTTCATTAGCCACCTAGAACAAAGTAAAAAAGGAACAGGTGAAATCAATTTTGATAATATATTTAATTAACCCAATAGGTCCAAGTATTGTCACATGGAATCAATATAAAAATTACTATAGAGGCCGGGCGCGGCGGCTCACACCTGTAATCCTAGCTCTCTGGGAGGCCGAGGCGGGCGGATCGCGGATTGCTCAGTGCGTCAGGAGTTCCAAAACCAGCCTGCAGCGAAGACTGCGAGACCCCGAGTCTCTCCACCCATAAATAGAAAGAAATTAACTTGGCGGCACACTAACTATACATAGAAAAAACTTAGCCGGCAAGGTGGCGCATGCCTGTAGTCCAGCTACCTCGGGAGGCTGAGGGCAGGGAGAGTCGCTTGAGCCCGCAGGAGTCGTGAGGTTGCCTGTGACGCGAGGCTGATGCACGGCACTCACTCTAGCCTGGGGCAACAGCGTGAGACTCGTGTCTCAAACAAAAAAAAAAAAAGAAAAAAATCCATGACCTCATATACTATATATACTTATATAATATGCGACTAATAGTATGTATACTTGCAGCTACTAGTATATAAATGTTCCCTGTGGAGGCCGTTTTGCAAGGAAACGGGCCTGCTGACTCCTCCCGCTAGCACCCTCTGTCGCCCCAAGCCCCACCCCCGCATTCCCAACCCCAGACCCTGATCCTCGCCGTCCTCGATACCTCTGAAACAGAAGCCAAGACGCTACTGCCGCGGAGGAGCGGACTCTCGTCTTCAGAGACCACCCAGGAAACTCACAGCATCTGAAGCTATCTCCAGCAAGCGGTCCTCCTTCGGAGAAACACTGCAAAAAGTCGAAGAACACCTGTCAAGCTATTTCCGCCAGGGGTTCAAGGGTGAAGGGTGCAAGGGTCAGAGAGCTTGGAAATGGGGTGCAGGGCTCTGCCACGCTCTGGGGAGCTCTAAGCAAGTTCCTACACCTTCGGTGCCTCGGTTTCCGCTTCCTGTTAAAATGAAGCATGATCTCATAGACACCCCCCCCCCTCAGAGAAGTACCATAGAATTCATTGTCAGCGTATATAGTGCAGCCCTCCCGAGTAGCACGTGCCTAATATGCGACCTCGCTGGTTGTTGTACGCACTCCGGGCCCAGAGCAATATTCCAGCACTCGCTGCTGGCATCTGGTGGGTGGAGGCCACGGGAAGCTGCCTCAAACATCCCATTTCAGCACAGCTACAGCCGCTTATAGCAAAGATGATCTGGGCCCTGCTGTGAGCTAGCAGGATGCCACGGCCTGTGACGCCTGGGCCAACATTAGTGAGACTCTGTCTCAAAAAAAAAAAAAACAAAAAAAAAAGCCATAAAAATTTTGATCGGGCCGCCCGAGATACCACAAAAAAAAAAAAAAAAAGATATGGGATTCAAACATCAGCGTCTGTAAATAAAATTGTGTTGGCACACATGGGCACGGCCCTTTTTCAATAGTGTCTAGACCGGGCGCAGTGGCTCGTGCCTGTGATCCCAGCATTTTGGGAGGCTGAGGTGGGAGGATCGCTTGAGGCCAGCAGTTCAAGACCAGCCTGGGCAACAAAGTGAGACCTCCATCTCTACATAAAAATTAGAAAAATTAGCCAGGCATGGGTGGCACACACCTGCAGTCCCAGCTACTCGGGAGGCTGAGGCAGGAGCATGGCTTGAGGCCAGCAGGGGGAGGCTGCAGTGAGCTGTGATCAGGCCACTGCACTCCCGAGCCAGGGCGACAGAGCGAGACCCTGTCTGAAATAAATAGATAAATACGGTTTACGGTGACTTTCATGCCACAACAGCGGAGTTGAGACGTTACAACAGAGAACATCTCATCCAGAGTTCAAAAATGCTCCCTTGGCCGGGCGCGGTGGCTCACGCCTGTAATCCTAGCACTCTGGGAGGCCGAGGCGGGCGGATTGCTCGAGGTCAGGAGTTCAAAACCAGCCTGAGCAAGAGCGAGACCCCGTCTCTACCATAAATAGAAAGAAATTAATTGGCCAACTAATATACATAGAAAAAATTAGCCGGGCAAGGTGGCGCATGCCTGTAGTC